TAAACCCAACTGTTCCCCTCGTGTGGAGCAATGCAATCCACTTAGAAAACTGATCCAAGTAAACCTTGCCGCTCCGGCAGCTTTACAAAGCCTAAATTGCAACAGAATAAGGAAGGGCAAGATGGGAAAATAAAACGCATTGATCTTGTGATCTGGAGATAATGCAAGGAAATGTGGCACGTTGCACCAAAAACACTGCTCACCTTTTGCCAGTTTTATGTAAGCAGAAACAAATGCCTCTCCTCTCCTCCTCCACAAAAGCTGGTGGCCAACAGCAGCCGCTTCAGTCCCAACACACATGAGCAAGCGTTCACCTCTGCCATGGGAAGCTCTTTCCAGACACCACCACCTTGCCAAGGAGCTTCAAAACAAAACCCACTCATTTAGCAACTGCTCCAGCATCTTCTGCCTGGTGTTGCTTTGGTCCCTCCTCGATGCTGTGCTCATCAGGGGTTCCCAGCACACTCCACAGCATTTCAAAGCGTTGTTCTTCTGGTGCTGTGCCGAATGTGCTTGGAAACGCTGCTTACAGCTTCACCTTAGAGGAGTGTGGGGCTTGTCCACACTTGAGCTAATTTGGATTAAGAGAGGGCATGAATTAAAAGCAGAGGAGGTACCCCAAAGTATCTCTGGGCAGATAAGCCCCAAGTTATCAAAACAACTGATTAAATGTACCATCACTAATTGCAAAATCAATAAAAAAGGGAAATAAGTGTGCCCAAGAAAGCCATGCATCCCGGCACTCGTAGGGATGGGGCAGGTTTGGGTTTACCCTCAGCCACTGGGAGACGTGGAGGTGGAAGTGGGATGTGGGGAAGGAGGAAACCTCGTGAGAGGATGAGGAGGACCACAGCCACATCTGAATAATAGAGAATAATAAAGACTTCCTCCTATAGCCTGTTCCATCTGGCAAGATAGACGTCACGAATTCTACTGACGGTGATGATGTATTTTGTGTTGCTGGCACTAAAAAAAAGGAAGATATTATGAGCGAGCTAGCATCACATAAATTTATTTAAAATAAAACAAGACATTAAAAAAGCAGACGCTGGTAACGCTGATAAGGCTTTAGTGAAAAAACTTGGTAATGCTGAAACCACATGAATTTTAACCAGAATCTTGAAGAAAAGCAATTCAAGAGAAAAAAGGAATCCATAAATAATGAGGAACATGGCAAAAGCTGAATAAGTAGAAATAGCCATTCTGTTAAAAGGCTGAGTAAGCATGTTCTTTGTGAGGCATGGAAAGGAAAAGACACAACCGCCTGTATCCTCCACCGCAGTGCTAATTTCCCTGGGAGCTGCACCCATTCAGCTGGGGGCAGCTCAGAGTCTGAGCCACTTCAATCGAAAGTAAAGTTTGGAAAATCTCTGCGGTCAAAGTTGTGAAAGCTGCAAAGCCAAATGCTGAGTGTACAGAGGGCTTTCCACAGAAAGAGAGAAATCTTCTTAAACCCCGTGCTTCCTCACCAAATCTAGATGTTACTCTGTGCTGAATCCTGAAATCTTCTGATTCTAGGTATGATTTTTGGCACTGCAAACTCCCGCTCCTGGAGCTGAGTAGAGACAACCAGGAGGTTGTGCTTGGGATAAAAACAGTCAGGCAAAACCAGGTCACTTCCATATCCCACCTCACCTTCCCTGGGATGGAAGTCCACGCTTTTCTTACATCTCTATAGAAGAGAAGTTGGGGACAGATGAGTGTTGACTCACAGCTTCGATCCCTCCTTGTATGGGGTCTGGGAGGCACCATGGGGGATACCAGAGCCTCCATGGAGCCCAACTTTTAGAACCCACTCCTGTTGGGTACCCATGAGTTTCAGCTGTCCCTGTTCTAGGAGCAGACCTGAAGATGCTGTGTTTTCCCAGCATCCATGTGCCACGAATGCTGTCGCCAGTTGATCTGCCAACGATCAATGATGCTTTGTATCCTAATAGAGGTTTATTTGTCAAACTTGGCCACAGGAGCATCTCATTTAGAATTAATTACAATGGCTGGTTTTAGCTACGTGTGCAGCAGCGTGGCAAGTTACCCTTGTGCTCCTTGGGCCAAATTTCTGTCTACGGATGGCAGTACTTACATCAGAGATTAATTCAGTGGCTTGCATGATGCTTTCTTTCTGGAAATTGAAGTCAATAGAAGCTAATTATAGTTATTGATGCAAGATCAGTATTGACGTGTGGAGTGAAATTTAACCTGTCTGAGAGCTTCCTTGGTAACTTGTCTCCAGGATCTCACCCATCACGAGCAGCTGAGCAGGATGAGTGTGCAAGAGCAGGGTGAAGGGATACTCCTCACAGCTCACAGTATGAGAAATATTTATAATCTCCATGGTAAGTCAGAAATTAGAACAGATTCCTACTGCCCAGGTAGTATGTAGGTGTTGCTGATGTTGGGTAAATTTGGTTATTTACTGAATTAGATACCATTAATTCAGCAGCATGATGTTTCCCCAAGCCAGCACCAGTTCCATCTCCATTTTGCTGGCTTTATGGATGAACAGACAGCAGAGGAGAGCTCCCTGTGGTGTGCACGTGTATTTTCCAAGTGTTCCTGGTGCCACATCCGCACTGTGCCCTACGGCACAGGGAAGAGACACCGGGGCTGGCAGAGGTCACAGCACAAGAACAACTGCTCCCACCCCTGGGAGCACCTCCTCACGATGCAGCACGGAGCTCCGGCATCTACCAACCCTGGGAATGCACTCAGGCCAATTCAGCCCTGCAATTTGGTAAAAAAAAAAAACAACCCTGAATTTTAACCCTACCCCTTGTGGCTGCCAGCAACACCTGCAAAAAGGAAAAACAACAAAAAACCCCACAAAGAACTACAGACTGTTTCCAATCAATTCCCCATGTCGTTTTCCTCTGTTTTGTGAAATGAGCACCTTTGATCCAGCAAATATTTATATGCATGTATTACTTGCTGGGACAGTCTCCTGTACTGAATGTAACAAAGTCCTGTTCACTGGTCCCTAGGCAACCACTAGAACAAACTAATTAGAAACTACAAATTCACACACATCCATCTAAATAAGATCCAGATTAATTTTATGTTACCTCAGTGTCTTCTGTGCTTGAAAATTAGCCCAAAACAAACGATACTCGTTTACAGATTGGCCTGAAAAATAAGTATAAAAAGGGTCTCATCACAAAATTTCACAAAAAAGTAATAAAATAGCTAGGATATTTGAGCATGAAAAAAAACCACCCCATCAGATCCTGTCCCAGATCCTGTCCCAGATGGAGTTGGGACGTTTGGCTCCGGATCTGAAGTCTGCTATACAAGCAATCCTCGACAGGCAGGCAAACTAATGCGCCTCCCTCATCAGCTTGTGTGTCAGCTACAGCTGACTCTATTTACTTTTAGCCCAGAGAAGGAACTGGGAGCAGAAGAAAAAGGAAAAAAAGCCTTCATTGATATTCACAATGATGTCTTGCATGTCCAGCATTATTGTTGTCCAAGGGAGCCCTTTCACAAAACGGGAGAAAACAAGTGATTAGGTGAAGAATGGCCTCTCTTAAACCTACTCTGGGAGCCTCTCACATCAGAAGCCCTGGCCCCCATGGCACAAAGGTCTCCTGGTTGCTAATGCACCACTCCTGTCTACAAACGGGGATCTAAGGGACACTTCTACCCAGACAGAGTGTCCAGAGCCCCCCAGAAAACCCACACAAAATCTCCTTTCACAGTCTTTACTTCTCACTTGGCATTTTCAACTCTAGGCTTTACTTCATAGCAAACAGCTTTTTCTTGTGCTCCCCTTCTGTCTCTGCCTTCTCCTTTTCCCATTGCTCCAGCACCTCCTGCAGCTCTGCATGGTGCCCTTCCCACTCACTTTCCTGATGAGGGGAGAAAAAGACTTCAAGATGAAGGTGTTAAAAAGATGAGGAGACGTCATGCTTAGGGATGTGGCCTAGTGGTGGACTTAGGGCTGGTTCAATGGTTGGACTGGATGATCTTAAAGGTCTTTTCCAACCAAAACCATTCTATGAAAACATTTCAAGGAGAATATGCCCAGACACAGCATGGCCTGATGTCAATAAATGTAGGCACAAGCAAGCCCTTGGAAGAAAAGTCTTTATTTTCTGCCTGTGGGAGCTGCCCAGAGGCCCTGGAGCAGGGGCTCCTCAGGACATGAGGAGATGTCATGCTTAGGGACATGGCCTAGTGGTGGACTTAGGGCTGGTTCAATGGTTGGACTGGATGATCTTAAAGGTCTTTTCCAACCAAAACCATTCTATGAAAACATTTCAAGGAGAATATGCCCAGACACAGCATGGCCTGATGTCAATAAATGTAGGCACAAGCAAGCCCTTGGAAGAAAAGTCTTTTCTGCCTGTGGGAGCTGCCCAGGGGCCCTGGAGCCCTACACCTCAGGACACCCTCCACAAGGCTCCCAGCTTTCGCCCTCTCTAACAACTCAGGCTCCACGGGCTCACCCAGGAAAAGCTTTAAACGCACTGATCTGTGCCATGTTCCTGTCTGGGGAGGGGGCTTCGGACTCATTGGAGGCCTGGGCTGTCAGGATGCTCTGCTGGAAGCTGCTGGTTCCTCCTCCCTCCATCTCCAGATTTGCCCACTCAGGTGGCTCTTCCAGCAACGACTTCTGCTCAGAGTGATTTGGAAAATAATTGTATTGAACAAATAAAACCAGACAAATAAGTCTTTGTATACAGTACAGAAACGGACGGGAACAACCTCATGTGGGTCGTTGTGTGGAGACTGACAAGGCATGCTGTGATGGAGTGCTCTGGAAAAGATGTGTTACCTGCTCCTCGTGTTCATCCTGCTTTTCCAGGCCTACAACTGACCCCATCCACACAGGCCAGCACCAGTTTTGTCTCACCACTGCTTCTGGTTTCGCAGTGAACACTGCGCTCTGAGCTTTTATTGCAACTGGGGTCTCATGCCTTGAACTAGACCCCTGCCACAGTTCACCTGCTACCACAGGTCCCTGATTTGGCTCCTACTGAGGCTCTTGCTGCACCCTGGTCCTGCTACCTCAGGTCATCACTTCTGGTGGATCTGGCTGTCGAATGCAATGGCTGTCTCTCAGGAGACTGACGGTCCAGAGATATTAGTGCCCAGTTAAGGTTCAGAGACCGATCCAGCTTCCGGGTCTCTGCCTCCAGAACAGCAGCTTTGGGCTCCCTGACCACAGCTGCTAAGGAGCAAGACAGCTCTTGGTGAAGGTCTGACAGCTCCTGGCTGGTCTTTGCACAGCACTCAATATAGTCCTGCTTGTATTTTCGCTCTTGTGCCAGCTGCGTCTGCAGAAGGGACACCTGAAAGAGTGAAAAGGCCAAGCTCAGACAAGCCCACGCTGCCATGCATAGCTCCATGGTACTGGCTATCAGGGAAGATGCACCCAGCCCTGAAAAACACTTTGTCCTTGTGGAACAGGAAGTAATGGGCTCCCAGAGTCACCCTGAACTGGGTGAATCTGACGAGAGCTTTCCTCCTCCTCACCTGGTTCTGTAATTCAGCTAAATGACTGCAGCATGTGTGAGACTCCTCCTGTGAAGAAAATGCAAGGATTTCTCTTTAGTCTCCAGTTTGCTCAAGGCCATGGTCTATATTCAACTTCTATCAGGTCTATACTCGGGGGCTGCTGTTCCTCTGTACGTTCAGAGCTTCCTCCCACCAGGTAAGACTTTGTTCTCACCTGTGTGGAAGCAGGGATCTTGTGCTGGTCAGAGAGAGAAAATCTGCACGCATCTGGCAGTGACCGACCCCTGCAATATCTCTTCAGTCTCCTCCGTTCACGTTCCACCTGCACGTTGGATAGGAGAAAGGGTCACAGAAAGCTGCCATCAAACAAGGAGCAAAAGGACTTCTGGCCATCATGGCAAGGTTTCTGCTCAGAGACTGTTAATTGCACCAGAGAATGCTGGGGGCAAAAAGCAACTGAAGTAGCCTACAGCAGAGAAAGAGCAAGAGGACACAGTTCCTGACACAAGAGTGTCAAATGTGAGTGTATGAGGACACTGGGGCAAGAGGGGTGGTACCGGAGTGAATGTGCATTTGTGAAGGCAATGGAGTGCCAGAAGAGAGAGAAAATACAAAAGTCTGGGTCCACAGGGGAAAGTGGGAGAAGGAGGAAAATGAGCAGAGGACTCTCAAGTGCTGTCTGTGGAAATGTGTTGCGTTCCAGAGGACCGTGTGGCTTTGCAGAGGCAGTGAAAAGCCGTTTTACCTGCTCAAGGGTCCTCTTGAGCTCAGTATTGAGTTGCTTCAGCTCCATCTTCTCCAGTTCCAGCCTTCCAACTGCTTGCTGCAGATGTTCCAGCCGCTGCGACAGGAGCCTCTTCTCCGAGAGCCACGACAGCTGCTGCCCTTCTGCAATAGCCTGCTGGGTGTAGAGAGGAGATGACGTGAGCTGGTGCCACATAAAGGTTAGAAGGGTCAGAATCAACAAGTCTGGGACAGCAACCGGGCTCAGGAATAGACAGTGCCAAGTTCCTTCTCCTCCTGCTCCACAGGCCAAAAGCACAGTCTCTTCCTAGGGGCCCAGATGACCCTGGAGAAATCCACGCTAATTTCCCTTCCTGCTTTTTGGACTGTGGCACAAGTACACCCTTAATATACAATGAAGCCTTTAAGCTGATCAGACAATGATATGAACTCTATTATTTTTTAATACACAGGAAAAGCTGTACCTCAGAGTTACCTCTCTGGAAGCATCCTCTAAGCACCATCGGTGTAGCTACTTATCAGCCATCATTATGAAGTTCTGGTAAGTTTAGTACATTAGTCTGGTCAGCTGCGTCCTTCCCTTTCCATGCCAAACCCTAACCACAACACATTGGCTAAACTTGCCATTCCAGCAGGTGACCAGTCTCTGGTCAGGGCTACACAGCCAGGCAAGCTGCTGGCTGCAATCATGGTTTCTTTGGCCAAACAAGTCATACTGACAGGAATATACATTTCCGTATCTTTATGGGACACCACTAGAACCCTTTATAGGCATTTTAGTTGACTGATAATCAATCCCAGTGCCTACCTGATGATGAAACCGGTCCGTGTCCCTCTCTGAAACCATACCCTGCAGGATGGCTATTTCTTCCCTCAGAGTCCCATTGGCTGTTTCACTCTTGCTAAGGGCAAGAGTCAGTGCTTGTGCCTTCTCTTTCCATTCCATTCCTCTGCTTTCTGTCTGCTTCAAAACAGCAACCACACGCTCCAATTCTTCTCCCTTCGCTTTCCTCTCATCTTCCAGTTGCTGGGTTAGCTCCTTCTGCCTTTTCAAGAGATGATCTCTCTCCTGGAGAAGCTTCCTCTTCTCTGCTTCCTCTTCCTCCCATTTTTGAAGTTTCTGGATTTGTTGCTTTAGGGTTTCCCCTGCATCTTTCCACCGCAAAGCGGATGTCAATTGTTTCAGGAGTTCACTCTGCCTCCTAAGCTCTTGTTCTCTCCCTGTCAGAGTCTTCTCTAAATCCTTGACTCTGTCTCTCTGGTATCTGATCTCTTTATCCTTCTTTGTCAGAGTCTGCTGAACATCCTGGAGATCTTCCCGAAGACCTCTTATTTCTTCTTCTAACTCTTTTTGCTCACCTTGAGCCTTGGTCTCCCATTCCCTCTCAGGCAAGGCTTCTTCCAGGAGCTTCTTTTGCTCTCTCTGATGTCTCACCTCTTCATTCTTCTCGGTTAGCCTAAGCTGGAGGTGCTGCAAAGCCTTCAGTTCTTCCTCTTGGCACTGGATTTTTTGCATAAGAGTTTTGTTGTCTTCATCTCTCTTCCTCACCACTTCCTCAAGCAGATACACTTGCTTCTGGCACGATGTTAGTGCAACTTTCATGCTTTCTTCACGAAGCCGGAACACGTTCGCTTGCTCTGTCTGCTTGAGGAACTCCAGACGGTTCTCCTGCAGCAGTTGGCTCATTTTGTCTAGATTCTGCTCTAGGCTTTTGGCCTTTTTGTCTTCTAACTCCTGCTGCTCTCGAAGGTCCTGGACTTGCTCTCGCAAAGACTTTATCTCTTGGTCTCTAGCTTCCAGAGAAGATTCAGCGTATTCTAGTTTTTGCTTTATGGCTTTAGTCTCCATCGCTGCCTCCTCCTTTTGCTGTTGAAGCTGAGAAAGCACCTCCTCCTTTTGCTGTTGAAGCTGAGAGAGCGCCTCCTCCAGAGCCCCTATCTTATTTTCTCTTTCTTTCAGAGTCAGTTTTGTTGCTTGAAGATTTGTTTGCTCAGCTTCAAGCTTTTCCTCCTTTTCCTTGCATGCCTCACATTGTTTTCTAAGGGATAAAATTTCTTGCTCTTTTTCCTTTAGTGCCACTTCAAGATTCTGCAGAATTTCCTTCTGCTGATCAGAGTCTTGTTCTTGTTTTTGGAAGGTCTCAATCACCTCCTTCTGAGATTCAATCACGAAATCCTTTTCTTTCAGTACTGCTGTGGTGTATTCTAAGTCTCTGCGTAGGACATTCACCTGTTCTTCTGTTTTTTCCTCATAGTTCTGTGTGTGCTGCTTTTGGATGTCTATGAGTCTCTCCTTCTCTTTTAAGGTTTCCAAGGTCTGCTCCAGTTGCTCACGGACAGTTTTTAACTGCATTTGCATGACTTCTTCAGCTTCCTGGATTTGCTTTTGCTGAGCCTCAAGCTCTTGATCTTTTTTAGATAAAGCAAGTGTCATCTTTTCTACTTGACCATGAAGCTCTTGCAGGTGCCCCTCTTGCTGTTCCTTGTACTGCTGGAAGAGTCTTAACTGATCCCTTTGAGACTCACACTCACTCTCTCTGTCCTTAAGAGCTGCCTTCAGGTGTTCAAGGCTGGTGTGCAGAGATTTCACCTGTTCTCTCTCCATTTCCAGTTCTTGGATCTGCTGAGCCAGAGACATAAGCTCTGCATTTTTCTCCTTCAAGTTGCCTTTCATATGGTCAAGATCCACGAGCAGATTTCTCACTTGGGATGCACTGTGTTGTTCTACAATCATCATTTTCCCCTCCTGGAATTTGATCTCCTGGTCTCTCTCCTCCAGCTCTTTGCTCATCTTGCTGACAGCAGTCATCTGCATTTCTCGCTGCTTCTCCAGCTCCTGTATCTCTTCTTGCTGGGACCTGATCTCCTGGTTCCTCTCCTCCAGATCTTCACTCATTTTGCTTACAGCAATCCTTTGTTTTTCTTGCTGCTTCTCCAGCTTCTGTATTTCTTCTTGCTGGGATCTGATCTCCTGGTTCCTCTCCTCCAGCTCTTTGCTAATCTTGTTCACAGCAGTCCTCTGCATTTCTCGCTGCTTCTCCAGATCCACTATCAGTTCTTGCTGGTATTTGATCTCCTGGTCTCTCTCCTCCAGCTTTCTGCTCATCTTGTTCACAGCATCCCTCTGCATTTCTTCCTGCATCTCCAGCTCCCGTATCTGTTCTTGCTGGGATCTGATCTCCCGCTCTCTCTCCTCCAGATCTTTGTTCATTTTGCTTACAGTAATGCTTTGTTTTTCTTGCTGCTTCTCCAACTCCTGTATTTCTTCTCGCTGGGATCTGATCTCCTGGTTCCTCTCCTCCCGC